AAGGTAATCGTTTTCGCGCCAACGGAAATAATTTGAAATTTTATATATTCTTTTTATTTTAATGAGGACATAATACAAAAGAAAACATATGTATTTTATATTTGGAAACATAAGCAATAAGAAAAAAGATAATTTGAAAAATATGATTGTTCCCTATTGATCCACACCCCTCTCCGCATTGGAAGCTAGTCGGCAACCATTCACAGGAAGTCCCGTTTCTAGATTACAGCCACCGACCAACCCTATCTTTCTATTTTTTTTTTTTTAGTTACCCGTTCACTGTCTCACTTCAGTCATTCACTGTCAAATTTTACTATTTACTTTTCCATCGTGTTTTGCGGGCACAGATTAACTCAACAATTAACAATACAAACCTCAGTAGGAAGTTTCATTCCTGTCTCGAGATTTTAGTTAACTTCAACGCTTCGTGTCTCAGTTAACTAACTAATCCCTCAACAGTAATGAAACACTTCCTACCACGGTATGTAATATACTATTACAAAAGTACCTATTATACTTTCAGTGGATGTTTGACGGTTTTTCTATGCCTTACGGAATCCTTGATTTGCTAAACGCTTTATTATTTTTATAATACTTTATTATAAGTACAAGTAGAACTGTAAAGTATCAATTTTTTCTTGTGCCATGTAACCTGCATGTATTAGACCAGGAGTTAAGACGGATATAAGTATGTAAAATGTAAGGATCGGCAAAAATGCTCAAATTCGTATTCCTGTGTGATCCTAAAGAATGGAAAAGTACATCTTGCCGACAGCTGGAGTGGTCCCTAACTTTCCTGCTATCCCCCAATGCAAAGTTATATTGAAAATATCACAATTTCAAGTCTTTTCACAATAATTCCTATTAATTGTAGTACCTAAGGATTTCTTTTCAAACACTCAAAAAAAATTACCTACCACTTGTTGGGTATCTTTGCAATTCTGCTCCAAAATATACATAGGTGAAAGAAGACTGCGAGATGTACAGGGTCATCCAACGACAAATTCACACCCCCTTTAAGCAAAACAGAGTTTAAAAATAAACTAAAACAGAAACATAACCGAAATTGCACAATTTGACAAGTGGAACCAATCAAAGTCATTCCACAGTTCCACACAGGGATCGCGCGTCATTATATGTGTCTCTTTTTTTATTGCAGAAATCTTAATAAACTATCCTTGTCGTTCATTGCATGAGAAAGGTCCATTTTATGGCCGTTTGCACCGACCTTTTTAAGGGAGACGATAATCAACGTTTGAAGTGAAATATTTTTGCATTTTTTCCAAAAATTCCGCACTTTTTCTTGAGAATTAAATAAAAACTAATCGATTAACACCAAAATTTCCAAAAAAAAAATCATTTTTTGAGCCACCCCTATAGCGTACCAGAACCATGCAGTTCAATTCAGTGCATGTTCCAAATTGATCCGAACAACTTTGGGTGCAATGTGTCAGAACTGAGAACTTTTGTTTACAAAATACAAACGTCGTTAAAGAATCAAAGAATGTTGTCAATTTGATTTCTTTTCTAGTACAGCAGTGGGAAAATATTCCTTGTTATACCTGATCAATTAAAACAGAAGTAAAATGAGGGTAAAAAACAATTCTCCAACCAAAAAACCTCCTACAAAAATAAATACAAAAAAACCAGTCCCAGTCCTCTATGTGATCAATAACAGGTACCGCAGACTCCAAAATTATTCTAAACTTATGTTGGAAATGATAGCGCTGAAAAAGACGCCTCCCAACGAATTTCTAGTCAACAAAGCACCATTCTCTAAACTGGTCAAAAGATTACTGAAATTTGTTTCAAAAAACTACACGATGACCATTTACGCTGAAGAAGCCCTACAAGTTATAGCCGAATATTATCTAACTGAAATTTTCATGGATTTTGCTTTACCAGATTAATAGGAATATCGATTTCTATTAATTATTAATATATTTTCATTTATTATTGTGTTATTTATTTGTTTTCTTTGGTACTTTTTACACTGTTACATTTGTAAAAGTTAAAGTACCCAAATATATTGTTTAATATAATTATTATTGTGTTAATTGATGTTAATCTAATTTTTAAGATTTACTTTACCTATTTGTAATTTTGTTAATACTTAGATATTGTATTTTTGCATAATGTTGGATAAAATAAAATAGGTTCCTGATAAAGACAAAAATAAATAGTTAATTCTAGTTTGGCCACATAATCTGTTTCAAATCTTTCAATAACTTTAGCCATTAAAAAGCCATAATTAGGTCTGTTTCTGCAGGAATCACAAATCAGTCGGAGTGAATTTCATTAGTTGGAAACAGTCAGAAATCTTGTTTCAACCAATGAAATTCAATCTGACTGGTTTGTGATTTCTGCAGAAACAGACCTATAATATTGGCCTTACCAAACTCCATTCTGATAAGAGTTCTGTGCAAATAATGAGTATGCTAACAAAAGCCAAAAAGTTCTCTCAGAACTACCATCCTAATATAAGTTTCCTCTGAGCAAGGTGCTCAAAAGGCATAAATACATAAGACAAGTTTCCTCTGAACAAGGTGCTTCAAAGCAAAATCATAAAGAGAACTTCAAATCAAGTCAAAATATCTGGAAATAGAAGTAACCTTGGGTACATAAATAAATGAAACTCAAACAGAGCTGGGCAAAGCCCTCAGTAAAAGGGCTTGAAGCACTAAGCCCCAGCCCTTTTATCAAAGTGCTTCAATTTCAAGCACAAATTCCTTTTTATTTTCAAAAGTGCTTCACAAGCACACAGTGCTTTGGGCTTGGCAAGCACAAAGCCCTCAAAGAGATTTGAAAAGTGCTTGAGGCACATCAAAAGTGCTTGGGGTGCCTTAAAAAGTGCTTTCAAGGTCTTTAAATGTGCTTGAAGTTCTTTAAATATGCTTCAACCTCTTTAAATGTGCTTGAAGCTCTTTAAATGTGCTTGAAGTTCTTTAAATGTGCTTCTCAGAGTGGCATAAGCTACCGCGTACACACATCAGTTGAATTAGTATAGTAATGAACTTTAAATTTCATAGAGTAGCAGTACCTTCCTACCTAGTGCCTATTTTTTTTTTTTTTTTTTTTTTTGTTTGTAGTTCTGGGGTACCTACTTAGGGTAGTTGGGGTACTACATACTACATGGTCATGGTAATTCAATTTTAAGGTTTTCAGAATGTTTAATGAAGAAAAGTGAAAAAAAAAATCCAATGATAAAATTAAATAGGGTACCAATATAAATTTATTATTCATTTGAATACCTAATCATTTCATTCATTTTTTTAATTTCAATTCTGAGCTCAAACCCAAAACCTCCATTGTTAAGAGAGAAAAGACATTTGGATCATTCTACTTCAAATAATAGAAAAAAAAAAATTTAGCGACAAAACACATCGAAAATTTTTAAGTGGGGGATAAGTTAAATGATGGCCAATTCCAAATTCCTTTCAAAGTGCTTTAAGCCCTTTTAAAGTGCTTGAAGTCCTTTCAAAATGCTTCAAGCCCTTTAAAAGTAATTGAAGCTCATTGAAAGGGCATGAATTACTTTTTTCAATTACAAATTACCAAGCACTTTTCTAGAGTAATTGACTTTGCAAGCCCCAATTACAAATATATAAAAGGGCTTGAAGCACAGGGCTTTCAAGTCCTCAAAGTGCTTCAAGCCCTTTCACAAGCACAAAGCACTCGAAGCCCTGCCCAGCTCTGAACTCAATTTAAAAAATTTAATTTAAAACTTTTTTTATAAAGCAAATTTAGGTAACTCAAAGGTTTCTGAAAAACCACCAAATAGATTTTGCAACTTAAAGAATTTGCCATTCTTATCTCAAACTCAAACCATTAATAAGTAGGTACCTACAACAGATTGCTAAACTAAATTACAAGTGTAGTATTTGATAGATGTGGCCTCACATTTTCACGATATCCATCCTATTCCTTCTCCAGACAACACACAAAGTCTTCCGACGTCTTTTTTTTAAAGTCTGCATTACGTTTGAACGTCTGAAGACCAAAAAAACCGTCTATATAGATGTTGTTTTGAAGCCGTTCATCATAAGATGTAAATTCACATTTTTAAGACAACTGAGCTACACTATTTGGTACTACCGAGCCTTAAACTGAATAATAGTTTATGTATTAAAAAGAGAAGCAAATGCGTCTTAATCTCGTTGAAGACGTCTTTAGAAGGTAATGTCTTAATCCCAAAGACGTCTGTAGGCAGACATTTGAAAGACGTTGGACGTTGTAACATACGATGTCTTTCAGACGCTTTAAATACATAAACAAGACCTCCTGAATGCCGTTCGTTATGATCTAAGGGACGTTTTTTCCACATAATTAGTTTCTCATTCAATTTAGAAGTCACTGGAAACCATTTAGAATATGGTACAGGACACTTTAAAACTTAATAAGCCTTTCGGAAAGTCCGAAACACTTGAAATTCAATTCAGAATTTCCAAAAGCATTCTGTAGTGCATCAGAACAATCTGGAAACTTCAGAATCATTAGGTCTGTTTCTGCAGAAATCACAAACCAGTAAGAGTGAATTTCATTGGTTGAAACTAGTTTTCTGACTGTTTTCAACTAATGAAATTAAAGAATGCTCCAAAACATACAAAAACCGATTTACAATCTCCAAAAGTATTTTAGACTAATTTGGAAGTTTAAAACCCATTTTAACTGTTGAATGTTTTGGACCTACCTACTGTCGACTAAATTATTTTTATTGGAAGATTTTAAATAATAATGTAACTCAATCTAAAAAGTAGTTAAAGATTTAAAATTTAGAAGCATTAGTAGGATTCAAGATTTCTTGCCAAAAACCTATCTTTGGATAGGATGTTTGATATTAAAATTAGAAAATAGATTTGATTGCACACTTAATTTCCTCATACTTTTATGTAAATAATCATTCAGAATCCGTGTTATCATTATCACACACAAATCCAGCATCTTTCCACGGAATTGTCCCTTTGTCCGTCCAAAGGGCGGGCATGCGCTCCACAAAAAATCGCTTTTCCATTTCCACACACGTCTGGAAAATTTAGTTTTCATTTTGCAACCAATGCAAGAAGTCCCCGCGTAGGATGGCGTCAAAGACTCGCGGCTGTCTAAAGGACTAATAAACAACTAATTATTTTTAGCTGTTGCCGTTTGCGGTGAATTAAAGTTTAGTTTTGTTTCAGTTGTGATGTAGTTTTGTGGTTTTCGGACGCTGGCGTATCTTTAAAAAGGCTATGGTGAGTCGATAAAATCTTATTATCCACCCTTCGTGCATCTTTTATGTACCTACCTATTTGAGATTTTTGTAGTGATAATTGATGAGAAATTTGTCTTTCAATGAGTTTTGATTTAATTTTAGGAAAAATGCCCCAGAGGACAATGTTTGATGAAGAGCTATATAGACTTTGGATGTTAGATATAGGTACTTCAGCTTTGTGAATTATTTATACTCTTTAGTATGAAAAAATGCTCTTCTAAACTTTTTGAGTGAACTAAATTTGAAATTTTAAAGAAAATTAACTTGAAAATTTGAACCTTCACACCGCTGTGAATGTTACACTGTTACTTAATGATCCATTGGGATCCTCCAAATTCCATACACTAAATTATTCTGAGACTTGGAGCCGGATTCAATGAAAAAAGGCACTCAGAAAAATTGAAAAATTGATAAATCACCCCAAATTGCTTAACACGATTTTATCTCAGGAACTATATGTGCAAATGAGCTGAAATTTTCAGGGATTGTAGTCCCTTGATTAGGATAAAATTCAGTGAAAGTTTCAGCTTTCTATCATAAGGTAGGTACCTTCTTACTAAAACGATGAAATTTCAATTTTTTTTTTGTCGAGATTTTGTATCCTAATGGTCAATCAACATACCCCAAACTCCATACACTAAATTATTCTCAGATTTGAAGCCGAAATCTATGGAAAAAGGCACTCAGAAAAATTGAAAAATTGATAAATCACCCCAAATTGCTTAACACGATTTTATCTCAGGAACTATATGTGCAAATGAGCTGAAATTTTCAGGGATTGTAGTCCCTTGATTAGGATAAAATTCAGTGAAAGTTTCAGCTTTCTATCTATAATAGAAAAAAGTTATGACCTTTCAAAGTTTTCCAAAATCTAAATCATAAGGTAGGTACCTTCTTACTAAAACGATGAAATTTCAATTTTTTTTTTGTCGAGATTTTGTATCCTAATGGTCAATCAACATACCCCAAACTCCATACACTAAATTATTCTCAGATTTGAAGCCGGAATCTATGAAAAAAGGCACTCAGAAAAATTGAAAAATTGATAAATCACCCCAAATTGCTTAACACGATTTTATCTCAGGAACTATATGTGCAAATGAGCTGAAATTTTCAGGGATTGTAGTCCCTTGATTAGGATAAAATTCAGTGAAAGTTTCAGCTTTCTATCATAAGGTAGGTAGGTACCTTCTTACTAAAACGATGAAATTTCAAAAATTTTTTTGTCGATATTTTGTATCCTGATGGTCAATCAACATACCCCAAACTCCATACACTAAATTATTCTCAGATTTGAAGCCGAAATCTATGGAAAAAGGCACTCAGAAAAATTGAAAAATTGATAAATCACCCCAAATTGCTTAACACGATTTTATCTCAGGAACTATAAGTGCAAATGAGCTCAAATTTTCAGGGATTATAATCCCTTGATTGGGATAAAATTCAGTGAAAGTTTCAGCTTTCTACCTATAATAGAGAAAAAGTTCTGACCTTTCAAAGTTTTCCAAAATCTAAATCTTAAGGTAGGTACCTTCTTACTAAAACGATGAAATTTCAATTTTTTTTTTGTCGAGATTTTGTATCCTAATGGTCAATCAACATACCCCAAACTCCATACACTAAATTATTCTCAGATTTGAAGCCGAAATCTATGAAAAAAGGCACTCAGAAAAATTGAAAAATTGATAAATCACCCTAAATTGCTTAACACGATTTTATCTCAGGAACTATAAGTGCAAATGAGCTGAAATTTTCAGGGATTATAGTCCCTTGATTGGGATGAAATTCAGTGAGAGTTTCAGCTTTCTACCTATAATAGAGAAAAAGTTCTGACATTTCAAAGTTTTCCAAAATCTAAATCTTAAGGTAGGTACCTTCTTACTAAAACGATGAAATTTCAATTTTTTTTTTGTCGAGATTTTGTATCCTAATGGTCAATCAACATACCCCAAACTCCATACACTAAATTATTCTCAGATTTGAAGCCGAAATCTATGAAAAAAGGCACTCAGAAAAATTGAAAAATTGACAAATCACCCCAAATTGCTTAACACGATTTTATTTCTGGAACCATAAGTCCAAATGAGCTGAAATTTTCAGGTCCTCTACTGGAATAAGAAAAAATAGGAAAAAATAAGAAAAAAATATATATTTAGGTAGGTATTTAACCCTGGACATTCGTCATTCAATAATCCTTAACTCTATTTCAAATCAACAAAATTAGTTTTCAATAACAAAGATAGTATGACTTTTTAAATAAGTTTTGTCCTACAAAGAACAACCATTATTGGATTTTCAACTTCACAAGTGCCCTTGAATAAATAGTGTTTGCTGCTTCCTATAGGCATGAATAAATTTTGTGCTGCTCGTTTAAATTTTCCTCCAATCAATTTTATTGTAATTCGCTTTTATATTGGAGTAATTTGGCTGTTAAAAGGATTTTAGAAACGCTCAAAATATTACACGATAAAATATATTGTTATAAAAATCTTCACCTGCATCAGACTGTATAAATCATGGGCCTCGTAACTGAACAAAACTCATTTCAAGGCAGCAAAAAAGACTTACTGAATGAAAGACATTATATTATTATAGTTATCTATTTCAGTTAAACACCGAGTGGGCACAAGTAGAAGTTATAGATTTGATCAATGACGGTTCCGGCTTGGCATTCGGTATAATTGGCGGAAGAAGTACTGGCGTGGTAGTAAAAACTATCTTACCAGGAGGAGTCGCTGACAGGGTAAGTCTGAAATGTTTATAAAATAGTAAGAACTCGTCGTTCATTAGAAATTAGAATTGCTAATTTGATTAAGTAAATGTAAAGCAGCAACATTTTACTTAGGAGTTAAAATGGTTTAATAAGCCAAAGAAAGTTCCTTTGTTCGCTACTGGGTAAAAAAAAAACCCCGAACAAAAGATTATATAATTCAAAAAGCACTTTTCAATAAACATTCGGATCCGGAGTTCACAAAGGATTGCTTGAAAATTAGTTTAATAGAATTTTCAATCTGCGACGCAATAAAACGGAACAAAGGCCAATGAAAACAAATTGCCTTGCTTCAAATTAAATACATAATTTAATATAAATGCGGCGCAGCGGTAGGATTCGAGCCACAACAACAACAGAAAATAATGAATGTCTGGAAATTTATATGTATTTGTTTCAGTAAAGGGATTACTTACCTACTAAAAACTTTTTTTCAGTTTTCATATGGAGAATAGAGGGTCTTAAAGAATAATTTTGTGTGTTGAATTCGATAGTAGGATCTTTTTCCTTTAATTATAAATTTTATAATGATTATTGATTCGGTAGTTTTTCTTTCCAGGATGGTCGATTACAAAGCGGCGATCATATTCTACAAATCGGTGAAGTTAATCTACGAGGTCTCGGCTCCGAACAGGTGGCGTCGGTGCTGCGACAGTGCGGCGTACACGTACGAATGGTAGTTGCCAGACCTGTAGAATCGACTACGACCGATATCCAGGTATTTTGTAATACAATGTTTGGACTTTATTTATCAATATATTTGAATATATAGTATGTTCATATTCATTAGGATTTTGATGATATATTATTTGGGGAATCATTCGCAAAAACTAAGAATCAGAGTTATTCAAGGTCCTATCTAGAACCCGCAGAGTTGCACTCATTACTTCTGTAATTTTGAAACTTCATTCATTAATAAACTTGTCAAGTATCAGTTAGAGCGTTTTTGATTAGTCAAAATCGCCAACAACCAGTTCCCTGACTATTCATATATTCGTTCTGTGGGAACAAGCTTTGTTCCAACACAGCAAACATCCGTCACGATTCTGCGCAAAGTCAAAAATTTGTACATTAGAATATTGGTTAAAACCCAAAATTCGTATACAGAGTGGTTTCGAAACCGTTTATGGGACGAGATGGAACAAACCTATTATTTTGGCCCCTCACCTACCGACTGTAATTTGACTCGACAAAAATAAGCCACTGTATAAAGATACCTACAGAGTGATCAATATTTTATTATTCCCGGCTCTTGTAGGAAATCTTTCACGACAGCCGGTAATCGAGAACAATTCCACCACTGTGTAAAGATACAGGATGATCAATATTGGCACAGCTCTGGGGTGCGTGACAGAAATCTTGAGTTCGTTTATTCCAAAATCAAAGTCCAATTACTACAACAATAATCTATTCCACGTTACTATACACTCTGACACTAATTAAACCTAAACAACTAAACTCTCAACAATAATCACTAACTAAATCATATCACAGACAATCTTCAACTTGAAAACTACTAACTAATTCCGGCCTTTATAAATCCTGGCCTGGGTCCACCTATAAGTTACGCAAGAATCCACTCGTTTGTACTTGAATAACTTGTCAGAATATATTAATAGTTTAGTAAAGTAACATTACTAATTCCTGTTGAAAGGCGAATTGACAAAAAGTGGATTATCTTACTTAATATAATAAGTTATTTTTCAAGTACAAATAAGTGGATTGTTGCGGAACTTATGGGTGGACCTCTGCGGGACGAGCGCAGCGAGTTCCGCAGCCATCTATTTGCCAATATTATACTGTTGAATTGTTCAAGTAAGACATTTACCTGAAACATGTAGTTTTCAAACTAATCAGAATAACTCACATTTGAGTGAGTCAGGTTATTATATTGAACAAGATATTGATGAATAGATGGCTGAGATCTAGATAATCTTAGAAAACCCATTTAACAAGTGTAAATGATGATTTGAGTGAGTTAGGTTAATATTGTAATTAAACAACATATTGATGAATAGATGGCTGCGGAATTCGCTGCGCTCGTCCCGCAGAGGTCCACCCATAAGTTCCGCAACAATTCACTCATTTGTACTTGAATAACTTGTCGCATTATGTTGATAGTTTAATAAAGTAACATTACTAATTCATGTTGAAAGGCGAATTGATAAAAAGTGAATAATCATAATCTTACAAATTTTGACTTTATATAATAAGTTATTGTTCAAGTACAAATAAGTGGATTATTGCGGAACTTATGGGTGGACCTCTGTGGGACGAGCGCAGCGTACTTTTTTCAGGTTCATCATTAGAGCGTTTATTTTTGTAGATTACGTCGACTATGCCTAACTGAACACCATGAGCATAGCACAAATGCTGAGTTGGATTAATAAGTCGTTTTACTTAGACCAATATTCTGGCCCCATCAGTTGTAATAGCTACTATATCATCATCCAATGATAGAGCATAAATATTCTTTTAACTTATTCTGCAAAATATCTATACAGATCTCTGCCGGCATACTTCCAACTATTTGTATATGTCCCAAGTTCCAAAACGATCGATGACCCTTTACAACTGTGTGTACATTCACATTCATGAAGCGCCTGTTCCTGCAGGAACTCCATTCATCGAAAGTAAGAGTAAATCTGTGATTATCTTTTTTAAGTTCCATAAGATCACGTGACACTTTCATCTTCATATTCATGCCATAATTAATTCTTCACAATAAGTTTTATAGAATTAGGAGATGATAGCAGTTTGTAGCCATTTGATGCAAACAATAGGGAACAATCATATTTTTCAAATTATTTTTTTTCTTATTGCTTATGTTTTCAAATATAAAATATATAGGTTTTTTTTTGTATTAGATCCTCATTAAAATTAAAAAGATATTTTAAATTTCAAATTATTTTCGTTGGCGCGAAAACGATAACCTTCAAAATGGCGGTACTTGTGACGTCAACTGTCTGTAAACACAACGTTAAGGACGTTAAGGTCTGTTCTCACAAGAGCCTCTGATACTTTGCAAACTGTCAGAAAGAATCGTTCAGCTTGAACCTTCGACTGCATTGAAAGCAGTTATTACGTGGTGTTTCCGTACTTAGTGCCGTATTGTGACATTTCGTGTGTTAAATCTTTCATCATGGTTGGGTTGATAAAGGATTTACAAGAGCACAGTCTTACAATCTTCCCTCTATACTAGACTCATTTATGGTGGTTCAATATCAGTCGTGGCGTGAGCTGATCGTGGACTTATCGTTCTACGACTCAAGAGTGAACCACGAAAACGTGGACCATTGATTCACGATCAGTGTAAACTACCCTTCACCTTAATTTACGAACAGTTGACGTCACCGGAATCGGCCATGTTAAACGTAACTTTTCCGCGCGAAACTTTTCAATTTAAAACTAATAATTGCCGTATGACTACAATATCGATAAATTTAGCGCAAAACTGCTCATATTCAATATTTTACAGAAAAAGGTGCACCATAAAAACAAAATAAGCCATATTTATTTCTCATGAAAATTCCCTGTTCTTGAGTCGAAAAGTAATCGGAAATTTTACGCTTCTGTGCACCTACTTGAAGTGTAATCAAAGAACTAATCGGCGGTGACGGCGCCGGCGGCGGCTGTTCACGTTCACATGAACTTGATGGCATAGCAGTATTTTCTATTACCTTCTTTTGTATTGTATCAATTTTGTGCTTAGATTTCAATTGCACATGCAAGCCTTTGGGAGATCGTGCCGTTGTTTTCAAAATAAGACTTACATAACTTGCACTGAGCAGTCAATCCATCATCTGTTTTCAAAAAGTATTTCCATACTTCCAGTGAACTATGAAACTCTTTATAAACAGTTTTTGAAATCATTATAATATTAATGATTTACTCAAAATAAATGGCGTATAGGCGACAAGGTCTTTCAACAATTAAAAACAACCACACGTCTACAAGGTCAGGAGATGAGTTGCTATACAATCTTGCAAATCTTACGAGATCGCGCATATTTTTGGATGCGAAATTAATCTTGCAAAATTGGTGCGAGGTCTCGGTCTACCGAGATTGCACTGCTCCCTATTTCGCAACAATCCACTCGTTTGTACTTGAAGAACTTGTCACAATATATTACTAGTTTGGTAAAGTAACATTACTAATTCTTGTTGAAAGGCGAATTGACAAAAAGTGAATAATCATAATCTTACAAATGTTGACTTTATATAAGTTATTGTTCAAGTACAAATAAGTGGATTGTTGCGAAACTTATGGGTGGAACTCTGCGGGACGAGCGCAGCGAGTTCCGCAGCAATCTACTCACCAATATACTGTTGAATTGTTCAAATAAGACATTTACCTGAAACATGTAGTTTTTAAACTAATCAGAAAAACTCACATTTGAGTAAGTCAGGTTAGTATCGTAATTAAACAACATATTGATACATAGATGGCTGCGGAACTCGCTGCGCTCGTCCCGCAGAGGTCCACCCATAAGTTCCGCAAAAATTCACTCATTTGTACTTGAATAACTTGTTACAATATATTACTAGTTTGGTAAAGTAACATTACTAATTCCTGATGAAAGGCGAATTGACAAAAAGTGAATAATCATAATCTTACAAATGTTGACTTTATATAAGTTATTGTTCAAGTACAAATAAGTGGATTGTTGCGAAACTTATGGGTGGACCTCTGCGGGACGAGCGCAGCGAGTTCCGCATCCATCTACTCATCAATATGTTGTTTAATTACGATACTAACCTGATTCACTCAAATGTGAGTTATTCTCATTAGTTTAATAACTACATGTTTCAGGTGAATGTCTTATTTGAACAATTCAACAGTATATTGGTGAGTACATGGCTGCGGAACTCGCTGCGCTCGTCCCGCAGAGGTCCACCCATAAGTTCCGCAAAAATTCACTCATTTGTACTTGAATAACGTGTCACAATATATTACTAGTTTGGTAAAGTAACATTACTAATTCCTGTTGAAAGGCGAATTGACAAAAATGGATGATCATAATCTTACAAATGTCGACTTTATATAAGTTATTGTTCAAGTACAAATACGTGGATTATTGCGAAACTTATAGGTGGACCTCTGCGGGACGAGCGCAGCGAGTTCCGCAGCCATCTACTCACCAATATATTGTTGAATTGTTCAAATAAGACATTCACCTGAAATATGTAGTTTTTAAACTAATGAGAATAACTCACATTTGAGTGAGTCAGGTTAGTATCGTAATTAAACAACATATTGGTAAGTAGATAGCTGCGGAACTCGCTGCGCTCGTCCCGCAGAGGTCCACCCATAAGTTCCGCAAAAATTCACTCATTTGTACTTGAATAACTTGTCACAATATATTACTAGTTTGGTAAAGAAACATTACTAATTCCTGTTGAAAGGCGAATTGACAAACATGGATAATCATAATCTTACAAATGTTGCCTTTATATAAGTTATAGTTCAAGTACAAATGAGTGGATTGTTGCGAAACTTATGGGTGGACTTCTGCGGGACGAGCGCAGCGAGTTCCACAGCCATCTACTCACCAATATACTGTTGAATTGTTCAAGTAAGACATTTACCTGAAACATATAGTTTTTAAACTAATCAGAATAACTCACATTTGAGTGAGTCAGGTTAGTATCGTAATTAAACAACATATTGATAAATAGATCAGAGAGTCCACCAATAAGTTCCGCAACAATTCACTCATTTGTACTTGAATGACTTGTCACAATATATTACTAGTTTGGTAAAGTAACATTACTATTTCCTGTTGAAAGAGGAATTGACAGAAAGTGGATAATCCTTCAAATTCTGACTTTATATAATAAGTTATTGTTCTGTGTTTTTTTATATATTGATACCCCACCTACAGCCTTCACCTTTACAAGTAGCAAGTAGATGAAAGGTGTAAATACAAAAGTTGTACAGTATTGGCTAAATTTTTAGAATCTATGGTCAAAAACAAAAATTGAGTGTCAGAAATGTGAAATGTTGCATGTTTTCAGCTCTTTTCAAATGGGAGTACCTATACAGTAGTCTAATCTTATAAAAACAGGTAAAACAGGCTGCAGTTAATTGTACAGCATAACTGTATGTGACCAATTGACTAACCAACAACAACGCATGCCTTTACGCAACTGGCAAGACAAAAGGCAAATAAACAAGACAACAAGACACAACACAAACACGCACGAACGCCGGGGATTCCCCACTTAGATTGAGTGCAGCACCTGCACTGCAAGCGTTCGATTGTTTTCTTATTGTTTCAATACAAATCACACCAAACTGATCGGAGTAATCGAGTAGACGTCATTCAGAGGACACTCCTAGAAGTCCTAACCCAAAGGTCGCGTATGGAATTATTGCTTTGAGATTCTCCTACAAGATTTTAATTTAAAAAATATCATAAAAAGCAGGTAAATAATAACAACGGCTTTTATCAGTAGAATTTATATTAATTATCAGTACCTATATCAGTAGATCAGTGGCCAAATCAGTAGATCAATTGATAAATCAGTAGACCTGGCAACAGTGAATTCTAAAATTAGTTGTCCATTTCTGTACCTCGTGGCCAGGAGCACCACATTCTGTAACAATATTTCATTATCCCTGGGTGTTTATTCTTGAAACAGGGGAGCAGTGCACCCAGGAAAACGAGTGTTCTGTCTTTGTTACTTATATAATCATTTGCATATCATTGAGAAAGACGAAACACTCGTTCTCCTAAAAACGCTACTCCCCTGTTTCAAGAATAAGGACCCTGCTAGAAAATCTTTCGCGAAAGCCGGTAATAGGAAACAATTCTACCCACTGTAATTTGATTCAACAAAAATAAGCCAATGTATAAAGATACAGAGTGATCAATATTTTATAGAATGAAAATGGATGACATTGATCAGTTTTACTTGTTACTTCAAAAAACTCGTTTCTAGGTCAGTATCGTACTTAACCAGCTTAATAATGAGTAAATCCTAAAAAATGGAAGCAATCGAGGTATAAAGGCAACAAAAATCACCCAAAAGTGACTTGAAAAGCAAAGACCTAAATGCAGTTTGAGCTTCAATACATAAATAAATTTTAAATCATTCTTTCTTTTTCAGTCTTTGGGTAGTCACGCACCAATAGTACCAACGAAAATCCTCGGCGATCCCGTCGAACTCGATCGACACCTTATCGAAAATGGCTATGCAGGAACTTGTGCACCGATACCTATCGTACCATACATGCCTCTCATTTATGGAACACAAAACGTAAGTATACACGAAATGGTAATTTAATCCGGGGCTTATATAAGACCGAGCCCGACTGGCAATATTAGCTTCGGCGTGTACGGGGTTCTAATTTATTGTTGCCCAGGTTGCGCTGTTAGCTGAAATCTAAGCTACAAACTGCATGTAATATTAATCCTGTCGGTAAATCTTGCTAAAGGAAATTGTTGTTGTTCTATTTTATATGTTAGGGAAATAACACCCATATATATACGAGTTAAATAAGGGGATTTTATTCCATTGTATCTCCGATTCACTGAAATCTGGAGCGTTTTCTTAGAAAATCTATGCTGACATTCATTCCTAAATCCGGCATGTTCCATTCTAGGATCTTAGATTTGAAATGACATTGTAATTAACTTTAAGGATAAGGACTTTTGCAATTCAATGACTAACTTGAAAAAATACATCGTATGCATAAAGATTATGAAAAAAAACTAGTATGATTTTGAGAATATTCAAGTTAAGATAAGTCATCAGATGAAATGGTTTACATAATGATATAATTATTTATTTCAATTCCTTGTTTTTGCAGCCTATATCAGATATCGTCGACGTCGTCAGAAACCCCTTGCCGATCGGCAAAATCCCGATTCCAAAAATATGCCCTCCCCCGCCTCCGTTATCGCCATTGTCACCGAAAAGTATCAAATCCCAAGACTCTCCGGAAACTGAAACGTTTACGTTGGAACTCAAAAAGGACGATCTCGGTTTAGGAATTACTGTAGCCGGTTATGTTTGCGAAAAAGGTAAATACCTAATTATTAGTTATCAAGTTGTAATGTTTGTTGTTTTTCAGAAGAAATATCTGGGATATTCGTGAAAAGTATTAGTAAAGGGAGTGCAGCTGACGCCAAGAAACTTATCAAAGTCAACGATAGGATTATTGAGGTAAATAATTTCATCCTTTGAAAAAAATATAAATAATTCAACAGTTAAATTAAAGCTTTGCCTAGCACAAAAGGTTGGGTTACATAAAACGTTACTAAACAAACTTTGGGTGAAATGAAAAGCTTTCACGGTCGTATGTAGGTCGCAAAGTTGTTTGTACAGCTGGATTGTGACATCTAAAGTGAAATTTTATTGTGTAAGCAAAAATAGATCTGTCCCAAAGAATGACTTATAAGTTTTTGAAACTCTTATGCTGTAGAGAAAAAATCATCTACTGAAAGTTCTTCAGTTTACAAAGTTTGTTATGAATCTTGAAATACAAAATCTGGTAAATTTGAAAATAAAGTAAAACATCTAGAAATTATAAAATCGGTAAATGATAAAGTGCTTATAGTAGAACAATCAAGTTAGCCATCTCTCCTAGATCTCCTTCTGCAAATTCCAGCCTCAACATTTATTATTTCTGTCGCGTCGGGCCGACAATAAATCAGCCTAAAGGCATAAAATTGAAAAAAAAAAAGTTTATCTCCGACTGGCAAATCGCCAGAAAGGAACACTCAAATGGGACTTTCCTTTCTTTATTTTTTCCTAACGGCCATTTCACTCCATCGTGGATTTAGAGGCTTTATTTCGTAGTTTCTAATCATGCTTGTCGGTTCGAATAAAAAGTTGTGGTCATTCATCCAATAGGTCAATGGAACTTCAGTGATAGGCCACACGAACCATCAAGCGGTCGAATTTCTTAAAAATGCAGGCCCTTTGGTGAAAATCAAATTCGAAAGATACTTGCGAGGTCCCAAATACGAACAATTGCAATTGGCCATTAAAGCGAACGAGCTGCGACCACCTTCGCCTCCTTCGCCCACTGTTTCGTCACTGCCTAAAGTTCCACTTAGTTTAGTGGTAAGTATTTAAATGTTAAATGTAAGTGTTAAATATTGTTTTTAATTTCAGCACACAAGTTATCTGGGTATAGAGCCAGAAGGTGAATCACGCACAAGCATAGATTTCGATTCGACAGGGCTTTTCGATGCCATCAGTCCGATTGAAGAGGAACAAGAAATCGTAATAGGCGGCGGAAAGTCTTTAAAATTCAGCATTGCCAGTCACGAGTCCATCTACGATAAGTGGCAAGATAAAATCGACAAAAATGCACAAATTATAGTAAACAGTTGCAATAATTAATTGAATTATTTAGTTAATTGTTGCGATTTCAGATAGCACAAATGCACAAAACCGAAAACAGCGGGCTGGGTATTAGTCTAGAAGGTACCGTAGATGTGGAGGATGGCAAAGAAGTGAGGCCGCATCACTATATTAGAAATATTTTGCCTGACGGACCGGTGGGTCAGAATGGAACTTTGGAATCTGGTGATGAATTGCTCGAGGTACAATTATGAACAGAAATTAGTATGTGCATGCACTTTTTAAATGATGATTGAATGAGTTTTACTCTTTAGTTTGGAAACTCATTCATTCATTCTTGGATCCGTATCATACTTGAATAATGAGGAAATTGCTGCGGAACTTGCAGTGTGGCGACTAATCTTTTTTGGGAATATGTAAATTCCTTGAAGTTTCCATTTCCAATTATAAAATGCACTGCAATGGCCGTAACTTCACTATTCTTATTTCTCCATCACGTTTAGGAATAATTTCAATTATACGCCCCATAGGCCATTCAAATTTCCTTTTATTATAATCTGATATCAAGACAATATCTCCAACTTTTACTGTCTGTTCGGAATTTTTCTTGGAAAAAAGTGTTAGTTGACCTAAATATCCTGACTTGAACCTCTTATTCAGATTTTCTCTCAGTTTCATGCGATATTTAGATCGACAGATAATTGGCTTCAACCAAAATAAAGATCTACAATTCCTACTTCTTTAACATCTTGTAGGTGTTAGAGCAACATAGTCATTGGGATCTTCAGACATATAGGTCAGTGGTCGTGCATTCAAAACTGCCTCACAATCACATAGAACGGTCTGTAGCTCTTCCATATCAAGGCTTGTTTTTCCAAGTCTTCCTCTCCATTCAATTTTTTGTACAGTACGACAGTTTTCAGCTACTATTGATCAATCTATGTCTTCAAAAACATTGACACATCCAACGAAATTCTTTCCAGAGTCGGAATAAATTGTTGTGTTGTGTAAATTCTTAACGTCTGTAGACACAAGTATACAGTACGATCCAGACTTTTTGGTGAGATTTAATGTGTAAAGGGACAGCTAAATGTATTCCAATAATCACGAACACTGCAGCATCACGTACTCTGTTCTCCGGTAAACATATGACAGGAGTATCTCAACAATTTACCTCTAAAACGTTTACATATAGTACATAAATTGATAACTGATTTAACAGTGCGTCTACATTGAAGAATCCAATAGTTTTCCCGTAAAATGCTCATCAATCCTTGTACACCAACATGATTGATTTTAATGTGTTCTTCGAAATAAGACATGATTTGCATATAAAATTCTGTATTAATTCTATCTGATATCTTAGTACGTACCCTGATTAACCTGTCTTCATGGATAAACGTACATGAAGGTGACAGTTTGGGGTCATTTTCGGACTGAAAACTTTCTTATTGTATAGAATGAATGACAATTTTTTTAACACTTCTAATTCCTTTATTGTCAAAAAGTTCTTGTTTTCGTTATTCTTCTTTCTGCAGTTATTGACAAAGCGTAGCATCCACGTAATCATGTTGCCTATTTGGTTGAATTTTGAGAAATACCATGAAAAATCTTTGGTTACAATCAAAGAAGAAACTACAGTCTTTCTTTTTTCCTTACTAACTTCTTCTTCGTCGCACTCAAAATTTTGACTTGATCACTCTGAAACTGGATCCAGTAACCATCGAGGTCTCTCCCACCATCTTCTTTCAGCTAGTGCTTTCTCAGGACAACGTCTTGAAGGAAGATCTGCTAGGTTCAATTGACCAGGAACATGGTACCAATCTTCACACGATTCCATTATCTTCTCTCTTAATCCAAGATTAAACTGTTGATGAATCTAACCAAAAGAAAACTTCAAGTTTTAAATCGTGATTATTGTAAAAGTTTTGAAATAATCGTACATTAATGGTAACAGCTAACAGTTCAAGACGAGGTATAGTTAACTTCTTGACAGGTGCTACTCTAGATTTTTTTGAATTAGTCTTAAACAAACTTGACCTTCATCTACTTCTGTCCTTGAAAAAAATACAAGCTGCATAGGCGTCGGCACTTACATCACAGAAGTCATGTAAAGACTGTGTAGTCGATTCTTTAAAATCTGTAACTTTAACATAGGTCAAATATGGTAAATTTTGTAGCCATTTCAAAAATATTTCTCTAATTTCTCCAGTGACCTCAACGTCCCATCCCAAATTCGAAGACCATGTCTTTTGGAGTGAAAGTTTGGGAATCAACGTAACTGGACACGAAAAGCCAATAGGGTCAAACAACTTATGAGTTATGGCTACCTGTCATCTATCAAAATATTGTAGTGAAAGTTCCAAAGTTTCTAAATTTCTGTTCCAAACAAGTCCAAGAATGTTGCTTCTTTCTTTAACTTTAACATACTCTGATAAAGGATACTTCCACCCTCTAAGTTCAAATTTACCATCAACCAAAATTGACGTAGACTGCTCAATAAATTGGTTTAGAGCTTTTTTATCTGATATGCTTACTAGAACGTTGTCAACGTATTTAAGAATTCAATAATTTAGAAAAAACATTATAACTGTAGATTACCTTCTTTGCGTTCTGATTTTTCAAAAGTTTCCTTAAGGTGGTAGTCTATAACTGCTCCTAATAGAAGAGGACTGCATGATACTACAAATACCACTCGTCTATGTCTAAATATTTTCAAGTTGTCGTCTTTATCATACCACAAGAACTCTTTTCTCCGATCACTTTCTTGTTAGCTGATCTGAAAAAATGCATTTTTTATATTAGCAGTTACTCCAATCTTCTCTGTTCGAAAACGTAAAATCATGGCAGAAATCAATTCAATAAGATTGATACCCTTTTCCAAACATTGTTTTAGAGATGGTTTACTTTTTTCTCTTGATGACGCATCAAAAACAGGTCGTACAGTATTGATCTGATTGAGTATTGATTCTATAAAAAGTATAGGTGATAACAAATATTTTTTTTTTTAATTATTCTCAGTACTTATTAGGGTTTCATCAGAATTATTTAGTTCTTCTAGCTTGGTAATTTTGGTCCAAAGTTCCTCATTTTTACTGTCTTTCCTGGCATTTTCCTCTTCATAATTTTCTAGTTCTTCTTTCAGTATCTTTCTAAAAGCGTTTTTACAAGTTTTGGTATTAATGTGGTATCATGAACCATAACATACCACTCGCTTTTACAAAATGTTTCGGTATGTCATTCGAAAACCTGATGGTTTCAATTCGGTGCGCAAATCTTTTAACCATCTCGGGATGATGAAGATGCGGTATGAGGCGTTGAGGTTAGATTTTGGCTTATTTATGTAATTGAATGAATGAATGCCGAATTTTGCCGATTTGGTTTAGTTTTGTGTTATTGAAATTTAGTTATTTTATTGAGTTTATTGTTCGATAATGCTCATAAGTCAGCCTTTCCGACATATGCACATATTCTGACATTGAACCTATCTACACATGAAAAAAGCGTCCTCCTTTCGCCAACTACCAAAATGTTAATAAAACCCCTTTTCCATCAGGGATGTTGTTATTTTGTGATATTCCACTATCACATTTGGTGCTTATTTCAAGCTGTATTCACATTAACATTAACATCAACAAACAACGATGGCGAAATGATACCAAAACATTTCATAACCTTCTGATACCGATCGGTTTCGACTGACGTTGAAGACAGACCAGAGAGTAATCCAGGATAATAATCTTCCAAAAGTTTTAAAATATTATGAACCTGTTTTTCTGGTAGGTATCTGTAAGATAAATAAACAGTTCTCACTTACTTTGAGTGATGATGCTGTACCACATGTGAGCGTGCCACGAAAAATACCAGTTGCTCTCAAGGACAAAGTAAAATCTAAACTTGATGAAATGGTAAAAGAAAAGATAATTGTACCGGTTACTGAGTCCACCGATTGGGTCCATCCCATTGTTGTCGTACAAAAACCAGATAAAAAAAACATTCGTATTTGTATGGATCCTCGTATTCTCAATAAATACTTAAAACGAGAAAATTTTGAAATACCAACTGAAGATGTATTATTTGCACAACATGCAGGAGCAAAATTTTTTAGCTTGCTAAATGCATCGTCCGCCTTTTTGCAGCTCTCCTTGACGTATGAAAGTTCTCTTCTATGCACTAAAGTTACAAGTTTTGGCAGATATCGATACCTTCGTCTTCCATATGGAATATCGTGCGCTCCTGAAATTTTTCAAAGGTGCATTTTTGAACTTTTAGAGGGCGTTCAAGGAGTTTTATCGTATTTCGATGATATACTCATTTATGGGAAAACCATTGACGAACATGACCAAAATTTACATACTGTTCTTGAAAAAATTAAAAACAGTGGATTGACCCTAAATCGAGAAAAATCAAAGTTTTGTGTTACCGAAATCAGATTCCTTGGCCATATTATCAGTGCGAGTGGTGTCTCACCAGATAAACGTTAAACCCAAGCTATACGAGAAATGGAATCACCCAAAAATAAAAAGGATTTACAAAGATTCTTGGGTATGATTGTTTATCTCTCAAAATTCTTGCCGAATGAAACAAATAAACTTCGTACACTTCTGAGCAATAAATCAGAATGGCAGTGGACTGCGATTGAAGAAAAGTCCTTCAATAATCTGAAAGACCTAGTTGCATCGGCTACTACCTTGTCATTTTTCAGTCTTAAAGAAGAAATAGCACGCAAGCCCCTATGGATTAGGAGCCTGCCTATATTAGCCAAAATAATCGCCCAATTAAGTTTGCTAGCGTGTCTCTATCATCAACTCAACAAAGATACAATCACATCGAGGCTTGTTTACGGTTTTGAACGTTTCAACTACTATTTGTCTGGGCAGGAAAATTTTAAAATCGAGACTGATCATCGTCCTCTTCTTGGACTCTTGAAAAAACCATTAGACGAAATGTCACCACGCATTCAAAGACTTGCTATAAGGCTACTTAAATATCGCTTTACCTTAACATTCGTTCCAGGAAAATACCTTCAAATTCCTGATACATTAAATCGAGAACCTTCTAAGGAATCGATAAATACTGAGTATTTAGATTCAAATGTAAAAGTTTTTTCAGTCATAGCTGTAAGACCTAAAACTGAACACAGAATTATACAAGCTATTGAGTCTGACCCTGTACTAAGTGAAATTAAAAACTATGTATTGAATGGATGGCCACAACACAAAAACATGACGTCTCAAAATGT